AAAGAAATCCAATTTATCTCAAATATATATTTGCTCACAAAAAAGAGAATACAGAATTATAAAGAGTGGCTCGCACTATAGCTTCATTTTCTACAGCTGTGACTTTTCTACACCGTCAAAAATGTTGCAAAATATAGTAACATTTGAATGCAGTTGCATAAATTAGTAGAACAACTTCTGTGAGGATGGCAGATTCAGCGGACGAATCCATATATTCCTTATACATAATATACGAATATGTGCGGAATTATGGCTTATCATGCCCCAGAAAGAAACAGCCGAATAATAACCAGGAACAGCAGCCTTGGTTGCCCGCGGTGCATTCACGGGTACTTTTGGGCGCTGACAATATGTTATATTACTTTGAACTCAGAGACGACATCAGGTCTGGGCATGCCACGCCATATTTTTCACCATGTGAATGCCACTGCGTCGGTTTTTGGCATTACCGCAGCCACATGACAATAAAAATATTAGCCGTAAATTATCACAAGTGAGTTCATCACAAGACAACTCTTGAACTCGCTCGACTAAGTGTGTGGGGGTTCGCATGTCTGCTTAATCTGTGCCTTTGGCGCTGGCTGAAAAGTTTGTCATTGGTGTCTGCACTGATATGCACACACACACACACATTCACACAGCCTTATATGCGAGTATGTATTTACTCTCTTCTGCTTTACTCTTCTACATGTTTGTAACTAAATATGTAAACGCAGCTGCAGCGCGCGTTTCAATATTTATGGGTACGGGCGGGTTTGTGTGGTTGTGGAGGGTATGGCAGGACTTGCTGCAGGATCTGGTCTGGCCACGTAGCATAACTGCATATTGTCATAATATTGAATGCATGATATATTGAATTTTGCAGTCAATAAACGTTTTATGATCACAGCTGCACATATTTCAATGAAATTTTTCTTATTTTCCATATCCCTATTGTTTGCATAGTGGGTGAAAAGTTGCATAAAAATTGTCAGGGTAAATGCGCAAGAGCAAAAAAAAAAGCACAGTACCATGCAAACAATCACACGTTAATTGTAAACATGCACTAAACCAAAAAATTTACTAAAATATGGTTCATAGACTTTCAGGTAGTTTTGAAAAAATAGAGTGGGGGATTTTTTGCATGGACCTAGCTCATGCAATTCGATTAATAATATATAATCGAAACTGAAAAAAAATGTTTATTATTACAATATAATACAATACAAATACAAACAAATTTGTTTTCAAACAAAAACCGCAATACACGCATTTATGGGAACCGACGACTATTCAGGTAGTTTTGCGAGAACTTTGATTTGGAGAATCAAAAGTGTAGAGTATATATACTTAATGGGGATGCAGACGCTTCTTACATACTTTATCACACCTAATTACCCTTTTTACTCTTCGTCTACAGGGTATAAATATACGGGGAAGCCATAATTTAAGCTCAAAAATAGCTTCTGTGTGTAAAGGCTTGTAGATGCTTAAGATACTATTTAGACTTTAACAAAAAACCATGACGTCGCTAATAAAATATATAGTGGGATTCCTTGGGAATAATAATAGAGAATACATTAGGATTGCCTGCTTCTGAATCTGTGAGTAGTAGTAATTCAGAAATAGGAATTTCTTTAAGTGATAATAATCAAAACGTATACTTACACAAATTAATACGAGCAGGAAAGTATCATATAAAGTGTATAAATTTCGTATGAAGCCAAAGAAATAGGATTAGGAAACGAAAACATGAGGATTTGATATCAAGAATTTGATCTGCTCAATTCAATTAGAAGCTATTACGTTTTCATATGTATCGTGTTTATATTTTTCAGTACACACACAAGTATACAGAATCCCAACTACAACTAAGCCATACACTTTTCAGTTAGATAAAAGCACATTTAATATTTCTTGGTGCTTGCCTAAAGGATGTCTAGAATGAAACTGTATGTCAAATGCCATAAGCTTAAGTCGGGCCTAATAACTAAAGCCAGTGCGCTACGTAGAATACAGCAAGGAAGGAATGTCAGGCTTTAAATGGGCCTACAAAGAAAGTAGGAGAAACAAATAAAAGTGACAAAAACAAATGTGTGCAAAATATAAGGCGTGCTAAGCACCACAAAAAGCAAAACATTGTCAGCGGCTGTGATGAAGGCGACAGAGGAGATGACGGCGGAGACGCTGTCAATGTTGATGTTGATGTCATTGCTGTCGATGATGATGAAGAGGCGACGCAACAAGCCGACGAGGATGAACTGCAAGCCGGAGGAGCAGGGCGAAGTTGCACAAGCAAACGGATATTACGACGCTTCCAGAGCATCTCATCTCTCATCTCAACGTAAATGTGGTGGTGGACGTGAGCATTGTCGTTGACAACTTGGCTGACTGACTGACGAAATGGGCAGAAGCAGACACTTGGGCAACGAGCTTGGATTTGGCTTTTTCAGAGGCATATATAGAGGCATTGGAACAGGCACAAGCACCAGCAAGCAGGCAGTCAGGCAATCTGCCTGTGCCGACGACATTGATGATATTGCGTTGCTATCAAGATTTCTATTTGAAACAAAAAAATCACGCTGTAGGGTGGGCTGGAAGTACGAGTAGGACAAAGAGGAAAAAAAAAACAAGCAAAGAGGTTTTACAACTTCTCGTAAGGCGGCTTAAACGATTTGCGAGTTTATGAAAAGCCAAACACACTTTGTCTACTCCACTCGTACATACTTGTATGGTGTACTCATATGTGGGTGCGGGTAGCATGGTGTATGTGTGTGTGTGTGTGTAAAAATAGCTGTTACCGAAAAAAAAGAACAGCAAATGGAAAATTGCTTTTTGATGTAGTCAGTCAACTTTTCCTGGCATGTGTTGCCTACTCTGCTGCTAATCGATCTGTAACTCTGCAACTCCCACTATAGCTGACTTTAAGCTGCCACTAAGGCGCTTCTGCCCTTCACAGACATGCAAATGATTTTAAGAGCCCCTTTGCAAGTGCAGTAGACCGCTCTTGTGCCAGCAGCAGCTTGTTACACAACGATAAGGGTCAGCCACCAACTGCCAGTTGCCTTTTTTCAATGAAATGATAGTCGATGGCGAAGTCTCAGTTCGTCCTGCTCCCCACTCACTGGATTGTTGGACATGAGCGCCCAAGCCGACCTCTTTAAGAACGTTCTGCAGAGAAAAATCAACGACAGTATGATAAGCGTGAGCCCGAAAGAAAAATCAACGAAATATGCATTTCAAGCCAGAAAATACATTTTGAACCGTCGACGATGATGTCGAGCACGCGTTGCTTGTTGCCGCTGCTCTTGCTGTTGCTGCAACTTTTAATCCAATGGATTTATGTGACAAGCAGGGCCATCAAACTGCCGCTGCAGCGCATATGAGAGGCAACTCCAGGGCTCACTCAGCGTATCAATATTGTTTTACGGCAACGCGCATGCAAATGTGTCCACGTAGTCAAGTTGCCGCTTCATCCATCGTAATTGTGGGCGCCCACACCCACCAGCCAAGCAGTTGAGCAACTGAGCCGCTGAGCAAGAACGCCAATTCAGCTTTTTTCTGGCCAGACCAATTCGAAGAACTGAATTGTCAAGACCACATCATTTCTGTATTGTAACTTAACATTTTTGTAGTTTCTTCATAAGTTATAGTTTAAATGGAACACACCGCTTTAGATATTAGTTTTATATAGTTTTATTAATACATACATGGTTTAAGACTTTGCGATCAACCAAAGTTGAAAGCCTCAGAAAATATGACGTGTATGTAGAGCACAAGCATGACATTTTTATTTCAACAAAATTACCAAACAAATTTTTAAAGGTCATAAAATACAAATACAATTTCTCATTTGAAATCTCGAACAGTTTGCAGCTCAACAGACTGTCAAAGCTACAAATGAATGCTCGTACATAAACCAAATTAGTCTGAATAAGTTTTTCCAGATATTTCGAACAGGGAACCATTTCAATAACTGTTTGATTTAGGACGTTGAGTTTGATTTGTCTATATAAAAACTTTTGTGAAAGGTACAAAATAATAAAACAAATGAAATTAGATAAATGTAACTGAGTATTTATATTAAAAAATAGCTTTATATTAGGAAAGATCTTAATTTTATGTAAATTAAAAAACCACCGTAATGTGAACTTAAAGCAGAGGCCAAAAATTATTTTAAAGCAAAACAGATTTAGGCAACATTTGAAAAGTATTCTTTAAAGTGATTTAATCTACGCACAAGAAAAGAATTATATAACTTATGAGTTTGAAACATTCAGAAGGAAATGTGGCGAACTGAATAGAATAGGTATATTTATGATCAACATGACTAAAGTAATCAATATAGACATGTCCGTCATTCCGGTTGTCCCGGTTGTACGTATCAACACAAAAACATAATAAATGTATTATCTGAAATAACTGAACTGTTAAACAGCTTTATATAAAAATACTTAATTTAAATACGTTTCGATTTATTTTGAAATTAATTGACATTGAAAGGAGTATATTATTTGAAATTACTACTCATGGTGCTGTTCAATTTGGTTTTCTGGTCTACTTCCTGGGTTCTATAAATGTACACACCACTAATATTATTTCACTTTTCAATGAAATCACTCTTTAATTAAAAAGTGCTGTTAATTCTCGTCACGCGGTTGCATTTGCCTATGAACATTCGAATCAAAAATAGATACATACTCGAGGTGTACATATAGTTGCAGTATTCTTTCAATTGTAACGACCATCGAAGGCTATTGCCTTTGTAAGCTGCACACCATTTTGGCTTTATTCAACTTCGTCTGTTTCTCAGAGGACAGAAATGCGCCAACACTGTGTGCAACAATCGAGTGCAAGTGCAACGCCAACGACATCGATTGCGTGCAATTTGTGGGTTTCGATTTTTGGAAAACCAGTTCCCAACCCACACACAGAGGCTATTTTGACGCATACAGCATACACATTCACGTCGCTGCCATCAATTTAAATAAATCCACAATTTTCTTCTTCTCTGTCCACAGATGCGGCTGAGGCCACGTTACGTAATGTAAATTTGCTCATCGAGCCGCCAGCCGTGCGACGTGGTCAGTCGGTGGCGCTACGCTGCGACTATCAACTGGATGGTGCGCCGCTCTACTCGATTAAGTTCTACCGTGGGCAGATGGAGTTCTATCGCTATACACCCGGCGAGTATCCGCACACGAAAGTGTTTCAGTATCCTGGCATTAGAGTAGACGTAAGTGCGCCTTGTTGTTAGCTGGTCGTTCGACTAATTGATCCTCTTTTTCGCCAACAGGATAGCAGCTCGAATGCCACGCTGGTGCTCATACGCAATGTAGGCTTCGGGCTCTCTGGAAATTTCAGCTGCGAGGTAACAGCCGATGCTCCACTCTATTCCACGGCCACGGCTTACGCGCAAATGCAAGTTGTGGGTAAGTAGAGGATGCGGGGGGCACGGGGCTAGATAGGGCAGTTCAGCAAGACAAGCTTTCAGTCAGCTTGTCTCATTAGCGCAGCTTAACAAAATGAGACCAGTCAACGCTGCTAGACGTGACAACAATGCTGTCAACTGCAGACAACAACTGCAATACCAACAAGAACAACAACAACAAGGGTAACCTCATCAACCACTTGCCGCTCGCTGCGCGCCCTGTTGATGACACTTCACACAAGTGCCGAAGGCCTTTGCAACCCATTCGCCCAGCGGTGCACGCTTTCTCCTTCCCAGCTCTTGCTGGTGTCCTTCCCCATCTCTTCGTCCCCTCGTTGCAATTAAAAGAACTAAAAAAATAAACGCCTCGAGCTGTTTGTGATTCTTTCCTGCCACAAAGACATCGTATACCATGAAGCACTTGCCCCTCAACATTCGTGCCTCGCCAGGCAAGCGCGAGATATCTCTTGGCAAAGGAAACCCACAAACAATCTGCCGGCAAGGTGTTGGGGTTGCAAGAAAAAAATGCATCAACAACTACAAAAACAAGAACAAAAAGCAAACAAGTAATGCCTCAAAGGCACTTGCAAGAGCAACTGCAAAGGTGTGAAAAAATTATGAGCAATAGACAATATGCTGCATATCGTTGTAGTAGTTGTTGTTGTTGCTGTTAGTTTATGCTGCCGGCTTTCTAACGACATCAGCCTAAACCTTCACACTCATTTAGTTATGTTAAGCAAAGGAATTGAATATGCTAGCATTGAAAGAAGGTGGCAATGAACATCAATTTACATACGCCTTTTGCGGTATTCTTAAAAGGACGCCTCGACTTCAATGTGCAACCATATTTGAATATCAGTATATTCACAACTGTTATTGATTTTAAGAGATTTCTTGGTGATCTTGTTGTGAAGAGTAAAGCAAAAAAGCTTCATTTTCTTTTCCAATTACTATACTAGCACACGCACAAAAATTTAAGTCGTAGGTTTAACGTATAGTCGTTCATTGTACTATTCTCATTGTTTCAATATCAAATGTGTTTACTTTAACAATCCTTTCACAGAAACTAACTTAGTTGCTGTTGGACTTTCCTTTTCGTTTGTCATAGCCTTTCGTGTGTCTTCTTTTTTTTTAATATAGTCATAACTTGTTTATAGACTCCATATAATATTATGGAATTTATTATGGCAACACTCAAAGAGCTTATGGTTTTAACGAAAATCGCTCGTATATAGTATATAACTATTTGGCAATTTATCGAGCAAACTATAAATATTTGCAAATTGTATAAATCAGCATAAAATAAAAACTTGATACGATTAACATAATTGATACAGAAATTCGAAAATCTTTCCAAAAACAAGATCATATGAGCTTAGCTGTAGTCGAATTACTTGATACTCTTAATCTGTGCCAACAAACATATATACCTGATATGTCTTTACTATGTAATTTATTATTAGAAGTATGTTTACCTTCATATGAGTATTAAATATTTGACTTGAAACTTGAAGCTGTACATAAAATATTTGGGCGCTCTTTCATAGAAGTAAACTTATTTAAGTGGAAAGGATTCTTCAAAAACTTCTTATGCGTTACTATCTCATATATTTTATATTTATTGGATCTACTTTCTGAATTATTACAGAATTTCCGGAGAAACGCCCTCAGCTATTTACGGAGCACACGCGTTACGAGCCGGGCGATGTTCTTCGGGCCAATTGCAGTACCCCGCCTTCACGTCCACGTGCCGAGCTGCGATTCACCATCAACAATGTGCCGGTAAGTGTGCCTGCCCCTTCCCCCCCCCCTCACCAATTGATGATTAACATTAAATGAGCTCTTGCTCCACTTATGTAAACAATTATGTAACATATAGGCTACAGTTCTATGCACGTTCATGTATTCGGCCTTGGTTATTAATCTCTAATTATGGTTGGAATATGAATCTTTCGAAAACGTATGTCTATTACGCATACGCCTGGGCGGCTGAAGACCTTCAAAAGAATTTACTTTGCCTTTGTCAGCTTTGCAGCTTCTTATTGCTGGAGCCTACGCTAATTAAACAGCTTTGACTTATTTATCAGCAGCATAAATCCTTTATAATTACAAGGACTCCCACTCCTACCCACAAACCCACTTACCCGCATGTAAATGTACAAGTGTGGGAGTCATGTGTAGTCTTGTTGCCTTCTAGTGAAACTTGTAAAGCCGGTAATGCCATGTAATTTCATGGTACGTGTGCCTCAAGCCCCACAAAAATTTGTCGTTTATTTATGAATACGATATAATTTAATAAAATGAAAGCTAACACCAGCCCCACGGCCCCATCTATTCAGGAGGACGAGCCTTTGGATTTCTTAATTAAAATTTTACACACAACACGAGTGTGCAGCCAAATTTACTGACTGGATTAACAATCTAAGATGATAACCCTATCCATCCCTCTGCCGCCCCCCACTAAGCTGGTACCCTAGCCATTTACTGCCTTCAAAATTAACTCAATAAACCAAGAAAGGGTTCTGTGTGCTCTGATTTGATAATGCGATTTGGGTGCTGCCTGTATCATTTATCAAAGGCAAAGCAAACAAATCACAAAATGCGCGCTGCCATATGCATTCCCATCTATTTACATATGTATATAATAGTATATCTGTAGGCTGTAGGCCAAACAGTACCATTAGTCATTTGAAGCATCAATTTTGCTGACCCCGCCGCAACTGCTTATCGGTTGCATAAATCTGAAACGAAGGAAATATACTCGTACGAGAATAGAAGCCCCAAAGGCGGAAACAAACAAAGTCAAGTCAACTTAATTTTAAATTGAAATACGTATTTGTTCCTTTAACTTGCCAAGCGGCCTGCGGTCACTAAGCAGCAAACCTTTTTCATCTTTTTTTTTTGCTTTTTTTATTTTGGTTCGTTGCTGCTATTAATCATAGTAGAGTGAGCCCAAAAAAGCAAAGCAATACATAAAATAAATTACGTAAAAGTTGTAGCAAGAAATGCACAAGGCCTTTAAATGAATTTACGAGGCAACACTTTTCATTTGTCACCCGGCTGGACAGACAGAAATATAAAAATACGAAAATACAGAGAGGCAAACAGAGATGCAGGGACGAAACAGTGGAGCAAGGCGGGACGGAGGAGACCGGGCGAGTTTCGGGAAAGCAAAGAAAAGAAAACTTATTAAACGCTTCATAAATTTTTATATTATGTCTACCCACATCATCAGACATAACGTGCAGTGGCAGTGTCACATCGACATTGGACGGCGTCTGTCTTATCCTGCCATTTTATATCTGCCATAGTCTACTTTTTCGGGCACACACACACACGCACCCACACTCAAACACTGAGACACCCACATGCAGGCAGTTTAACGTTTTATCTAGACGCCGCTTTCTGGCTTCCATCTCGTTTTGTTCTTTCTTACTTTATTTTTTCTTTGTTGCCTGTCACACCAGCCAACTAATGACAAAAGCCGAGACAAAAGTGTGTATGTTTCTGCGTTTGTACTTGTGTGTGTGTGTGTGTGTGTGTGTGTGTGTGTGTGTGTGTGTGTGTGTGTGTGTGTGACTGACTGCCTGCTTGTTTCGGTGTGTCGCATAAAATTTTATGTATGCTGTGTTTATGTTGGCTCAGACAAGAACAACAACAAAGCGCTGGCAATTTAGTTTCATACTGGATGGATTTTTGATATTGAATTATGGTCTCTCTTTGAATTAGAAAATTGCACGCAAAGTGAGACAAAAGCGAATGCCGTCCTGCCTCATAAGCTGTCAGTGCCAAATAATGCATAAATAATGCCTGGCTCCGTTTCTCTCACTTAGTGACATCGGAAAAACATTGACCTGCTGGGACTCAGTCGCATTCTTAATCTCTCCTCCAGCCTTGGGTCGTTTGTATCCATGCAATTGAACACAAAGTACAAGGCTGAGCTGTTTCGCCACAAATTAAAGCACACTCAGTGTCAAAGGGCAAGCCAAATAGTTGTATAAAATTTCATGTGTCTGCATAAAACACACATGTGGTCCACTGCCATTTCTGCCAGACCGATGTGGATGAGGATAAAGATGATAATGACGAAGATTGCGATAGCGACGACAACAAGCAGCTTAAAAAAGAGAGAGAGAAAAAACCTTAACGACTAACATAATTTGTTAAAAAGTTTTCGTCACATTAATGGAAAAGTAGCTCAAAATGAAATTTTTTGTGAATCATGGGAATTAGTTCGGATTAAGGCGGATGCTGTTGCCTCTGGTCTCCCCCGTCTCCGCCAAAGCAAGGGGCAAAGTGGGGGAGAGCCGAAAGACATGAACATGGATTTGTGCTGCAATCGATTTTTGATAAATTATTTATTGAGCATTAATGGGCCGCTCTCGTTTGGCTCCCATCTGTGTTCCAGTGGTCGAGCGTTGAATGTTTTGGCTTGGGGTTGACACAGAGCTACAAACGACGTGCTCGGAGACTTTCCAACTAAGCACATAATTAAAGCTTAACTGAAACTTTCCATGGCTTTGATTAATGATTGTTATTCACAAGCTCTTTGTGGTCCAAATCGATGGCAGGACAAAATCAAAATAAAACAAAACTTTAAGCAGCCAAATAAACCATATTTATGCAAAAACATTTATTATTCTCAAACTAAAATCAGCGAACAATACAAATACTATACGAATACAGCAACTAATTTCCGCAGATGCTGTACTCGTATTGCATTGGCACGAGTCCACATTGTGTTTTGCAGCTTTGTAGAGAATTATTATTTGCACACCAATGATTTGAATTCAACATGAACATAATGTAACTTCAAGTCTAACGTATAATGTTTATACACTTAGAGAACGTTTTCCGACACAATCCCATTTCGAGATGTGCAAATTATTTGTTTCGCAGTCAACACACTTACAAGTACTATACATACAAGTCAATAATTGCTTAATTTTTTTTATAACGTATCTTCAAAATGCCTACACAAAACCCAAACCAATATTTGTAAGCTTCCCATATTTGGAGCTTCCCATCACGATACGATTTGAACACGAAACATAAATGAACAAAGTGATACTTGCGAAATAATATTAATATTTGCTCCCAATCGTTTTTAATAAAATATGATTAGCAGTTTTCTTTAAGCTTAAAGACTTCATGTGGGTAACTTCTCAAAATTAACAGAAATGATTTATTTTGAGTGAATTGTGGCGTGGTTTTATGAAACTCACATTAGAAAACATTGCTTTTTATTTTCTTGGTAGAAGACTTCATCAAGATTTACCTATTTCTTAGGAGTTTCTGTTTATTTGTTGAAGATTTTCATTAATTATTCTTATTTTAGTCGTCTTTTCAAATATTTCTAAATATTTGGGTCTTGAAATGAAAGATAATAGGTTTTGTTTTTAGGCGCGTTTGGGCTTACCCAGCCATAAATGTAAATACATACAAAATATTTCAAATACATAAAAACGGCTGTTACTATATTACAAAGTGGGTTATTCGGACTTCGTTTGTCAAACTTTGCAGCTAAAGTTTTGATTTGTGCAATTCTCCTGTAAGAAACGTTGCTTCAGATGTCTAGGGCGGAATAAGATATGCTGACATTATGAAACCGCTTTATATTAATTTAAATAGCGAGGTTCGTTTACAACATTATGAATAATATTTTCGTCATTTAAATACATATTCTATTCATATTAAAAAGTAAATGTATACTATGTATAAGGCGTGTTTAAATTGTTGTAGCTGCTTTCCGAAACGCAAATGAAGCAATTATAAAATGTTAATAGTGGACAAACATTTTCCTCACACATTATTTGTGGCTTTTTTCACTCACACACTCTCTCTCTCTCTTTCTCTCTGCCATTCTCGCCCTCTATTTCTATCACTAGCTCATTTACCCTTTCTCTTCACCCCTTTCAGTTTAATGTTTTATGTACAGCTTTATGTGTTGTATATTAAGTTGCCATTTTCATATTAATTTGCATAAGCCTTTTGGGCAAAAATTAGCATGTTTTGCCCATACACTGTCATTTTTCGTAGTAAGTAAGTTAATGGCGTAGTAAATGAATGAGTGTTGCTATCAAATTGAACTTAGCAGGCCAAAAAGCGACGGCAGCAACAGTAAGAAGTAGGCAAACAAACTTTGGCAAGAGAGCAATGTTTATGTTGGCTAAAAACAATTTAAGCCACAAGCCAAAAACGCTGAATGTGCAAACAAACACAAACGTTCATTTAATTGCCCAAATTGTCTGTCTGTCTGTCTGTCTGTCTGTCTCTCTTTCTGTCTGCCTCTTCCATACAGTACGACCTTTCATTGTGCCCTCCTGCTGCTGTCCTTGCCGACTCCGCCATAAAGGTAAATCACAAGAAATATGAGGGTATTTTCTTTTGGGGCTCATGCCACATGCTTAATTAAAGCGTTTTCGCCTTAAGAGTCTCTCGTAAATTACGCGGCATTAAATTGGCACACACACACACACACACCCGAACACCCATACAGCCTCTAACACGCAACTGAAAATGGCTTTTTATGTTAAGATTCTCCTGCTGCTGTTGCTTCCGCTGCTGCTGCGACTGCCTGCATAAAAATAAAATTCAAATAAAAAGCTAAACCAAAACAAAATGTTTCGCTGTAAAAAGGGTTAAGGGGCACGCAACAACAACACAATTTAACTTTTTAATGTTGCTGCTGTGGATGTGTATTTGAAGGGAAGATTTTGCCTTGAAGCGCCCTTTTTGCACGGGAGTATTTCTATATATAGTACATGCATGTAAAACGACGTGCCATTGTTGTTGTTGTTGTTGACCCAAATTGTGTTTACTGTAATATCTTACACCTTTTTATGGTCGCCAGAAACGCACTGGCAACGGCTAGATACAACATACATACAAGTAAATGGCTCTCAAATGAGTTTACAAGTGCACATTAAATGCATATTTATTGCATTTTCATCATTAATGACCAATCAGCGGCAATCCTAGACTGAAAGAATTACTTGTATATTCTTGTCTTCTTACCTTAAATTGAAACAAGCAGCAGTTTCTATTTTATGACCCACCAACCTATGTTGTCGTATACACTTTATATGTAGAAAGCAGGACAAACGGAACCGAAAGCGCGCACGTTGCAGCACTATGAAGAGAAAGGAAATGACTACAAAACCATTTGCAAAATGGCGCCTGCAGTTCCTTAGGCACAAACTCAACAATGGACGCACACACACGCACACACACTGGTCCATTTGCGACTAAAAGCATGTCGTTATGCGTTGCAGTTAGCAGCTGCAAGAAGCAGTTGCCTTAGCTGTACTCGTATACTTGTAGTATGTAGATTTTCCACTGCCTGGCAAAGACGCGTCAAACGGAAATTGTGCGTTGAAGCGAAAGGCACACGAATGTGACTTCGTCTCTGCCTAAGTGGAAGCTGATATAAATATAAATATGAATATGAATATGCAAGGAGAGGCAAGTAACCATCAGCATTCAATTTAAGGAAGCAGGGAGCTGGGAGCAGACCCATGCATTTCGTGTAGTTTGTTGTGTGAAACGGTTCGCATGCTTGTACGTAGCTGTTGGTGCCATGGCGGAAATGAAATTGCTAGCACAAGAGTACACGCACATGCAGACAGATGGAGAGACAGACAGACAGACAGACAGACAGACGGAGGGACAGGCAGGCAGGCAGGCAGATGTTTGGACAGACGCTCTGACGCCAAAATGGGGCGAACGAAAAATACATACTATGTACTCGTACGCAGTAGAAATAGTACTAGTAGTACAGAAATGGAAATGTAAGCATAAGCGTCAAATAAACAGTTTGCACAGCGTACGGAACCAACAGCTACTACAGCAAAATAACCTTGAGTTGAATGATATCAAAAGAGCACACAGACACTCGCACTCCGTCCGCTACACACTCAAACAAAATGCCGGACAAATGTCCGGACAGGCGAAAAACCAACGAGCCATATGAGTGAATAAGTGTGCTGTTGCTGCTTGTCCTCTGCGTTGTTGTCACGTGTGTTGGCATGTGTGTGTATGTGTGTTTATGTGTGTATGTGTGTATATGTGTGTCGCAACAACATCGAAAACTCGTTTTTAAATGACAACAGCAACAACTACGAGTATAACATGGACAACAACTACACCAAAATATGACATGCCATGTCCGTTCTTTTTCAGCATCCGTTTCCTTGCGTTCAAGTTGCTCGGCTGTGTTTGCCCTTCTGCCGTATGTACAGCACCTCTTGTTGCAATATTTGTTGTTCTTTTCCATTTTTGGTGATTTTGTTGTTGTTGTTGTTGTTGTTGTTGCATAAGTGGCCTCAGTTGGCCTCAACAGGCAACATGCTTGTAATAACCCACAGACAAATTGCCATTCATATCTAGTTGGACGCAATGTGGACCAACTTTTTCAACTCTGCACCTCCATCCAGCTACACAACCCCAGCACCACCATCACCATATGCATCCTCCCATACATGCCCTTTGGCTTGGTAGCCGTAAGCGGAAGGCGAAATCAGTTGAACTCTTCGAAGAAAAAATTAAAGCCTACTTTAAAACTGTACCCTTGTAGTCCTACATACGTAGTACTTAGTATCAGGAAGGCACAAATGCATTTTAATTGTAATATACACACAGCATCTGTAACCACCATCTCTCCACCTCTCGATCGCCCCCACAGGTAACAACGGATGAGACACAATACATCAGAACGGTTGACAACTTAATAGCATCCAGACTGAGCCTGAAACTGCAATTGCAGGCCGTGCACTTTGTGGCCGCCATCAATGGCAATGCGGCTAATGCCCACTCGACAAATGCAGTGGGTGTTGGCGTTGGCGGTCTGGTGCTCCGTTGCACAGCGCAGATAGGCGATCTATATCAGGAGTACAAGGAAATCGAATTGGGCACACCGCAAAAGGATCCGGTGCCAGCCAGAGGTGAGCATCAAATATGCATTAATGTATGAGCTTTGGTACAGCTGCCCATTTACATGCGTTACCACTACCTTTAGACCAGACAGATCAAGTTAAGCAAATTGGGAATTTATTTCAGTACAATGCCATTTCCCTTCGATATTTAATGTATTGATACTATAGTATTCTTTAAAGTGGTTTCAAAAGCCAAGTATCTAAGAACACCATTTGGGAGGACACGTTTGGATGCACACTTGAAAATGTATCCAGACGTCTATTTGGACAATGTGTTTCGAGATAACATTGAGATCGTCGAAATAAGAAAATTCCTTAAACTTACTGGGTGGTTAAGGGCTGAGCTTTAAAACAAATGTGGGGGCCACCATGTTCTCTTTTTGAAGCAGGAGGCAGATAACATTTTAAATTGTTAGGGATAGTTGCAGCAACTATGTACTTATTATTCATGATGTTATTTAAATAATTGATTTCGTTTTAGTTACTCTGTCATCGGGCACAGGTCTGCGAAATTTCATCGAAACCTATTTCTACACGTCGGCCGCAGCTCGTCGGCAATCTGACAGCTTAAATCACTATCTGGTTGCCTGGTATCTCAGTGTCATGATGTGGGCGTTGGGTCGCAGCTAGTGGACTCGCCCCTGGGCTAATTGAAGTGTAGGAATGTAAACCTAAATGAGAATCAAATACATACATTCTAGAAGATATGGTAATAGCAGCTTGTTGTCTAGGGCATATTCACATGCAAAGTGTAGAATAAGTTAAGACATATGTATGTGTAGTTCGGTAGCATTAAGTCTAGCTATAATACTGCATAAGTTGCATGCCATCAAATGATATGAAATTTGTAAATATTTACTTTATGATATAAGCCGATGCATAGGCTCAATATTAAATTAACCCACACATACACACATACACGTACACATACCCAAAGCAAACAAAAAAGCACATAGCGCCGCTAATTGTTAATTAATGGTTTATTTAATGATGCATACAAATGCCATACGAATGTAATAAGTACATTACAGAAAAACTATTTCTATTGCATTTCATTTGAAAATACAATTAAAAATGTATTAAAAATATCACAAATACGAAAATTAAAAATCTACTCCTAAGAAACTGCAGGCCATGTTGTCAGGCCTACAAAAAAGTGCAACAAATGCAATCGAATTCAAAAACAAATTGCAATTGTAAAAAGGCAAACAGATGACAAAATGCATTCAAAATAAACAGACATAACTAATCACTGGAATGTTTTATATTCATTAAAAATACAGTACGAGTATATTAACAATTAATTCAACTTTTCAGCAAAAGTGATGTGGGTCACACATGTCCCTAAGCATTTATTAATTAACACCTAGAATACAAATTGATATTCAATTTGAGCTGGAAGCGAATTGTAAGTATGGCATGGACTTTTTTGTTAGCCAACAATTGAATCATACGGCTGAGCTACAAGTGTACCAGCAGGCCCATGGCTAAATATCATCAAAGGTAATGGAAATGCTAATTGGAAGAACATATTTATCATATTAATCGTTTGACTTCATTTCCCAAGGTTAATTCCTATTCAATAAATGCTTAAATATACGGTTATTCAACAGCCTGTACGTCACGAAAAGAAACAATGAGTTTGTTGACGATCCTTGAAATTGCTGAAACTATCCCTATTTCGACAAATGTCTTAGTTTAAAAGGAAACCAAAAGAAATACAGACTTTTCCTGTTTATTCATACCTTCTCCAAATAATATATTGCAAGGAAGAAAATGATCGAATTTTTTTCAGAATTCAAGTAAGTAAAATGCAGATTTCAAATAAGCCTGCCGGCTCTTTTGACTTAATTTCTCAACGTTAATTCCTATTCAACAAATGCTTAAATATACGGTTATTCGCCAGCTTGTACGTCACGAAAAGACACAATGAGTTTGTTGACGATCCTTGAAATTGCTGCAAGTATCCCTACTTCGGCAAATTTTTTAGCCTAAAAGTTACAATCAAGGAAGCCAAAACAAATACAGACTTTTCCTGTTTATTCATACCTTCTCCAAATAATATATTACAAGGAAGAAAATTATCGTATTTTTTCAGAATTCAAGTAAGTAATTCGCAGATCCCATAAAGCAAACACCATTACACACAAACTTTAAAAAAAACTCCCTTGTCGTGGAACAGTTGGTTTTATGTTGATAATTAAAATTTCCGTTTAATTATTTTGCAAATAGATTTGGTGTGTGGTAATATTTAATAAAAACCAGGAGTAATTCTTTCTTTCGAACAGACTTTACACAACATTTTTCTTTCACCTTGCACACCGGTTTTCTTCGAAACTTAGAATGGCTTAGCACCTCCTTCTGCTTACGAAATCCACTTCCATGCATTGCTCGGACGTATCATCATTAGAACCGACGTAATGCGCTTGTCCGGAAAATATGTGCGCCAGGAAATGCAAGCGTTATCGCAGTCTTTAAAGTCCTCGTCAGTCACAGCGTAGAGTCCATTAAGATTGCTCTCATAGCACTGACGAAACCACCAACCTGCATGATAGCTGAAGGCGCAGTTCTCATCGTCATGTCCATCGTTCTTCCTATCATACGTGGTGAATTGCTGACCCAGATGGTAGGTCAATGAATCACCAGCACTTCCCGAAACTACACCTATATGCTTTAAGGTGTAGTTCTCTGATTCGGAGCCAATAACAAAATGATCGTACTTGGCATATACTGGGTAGCTGTCTACATTATACAGCACGATCATCAACTCGTGTGGCGAATCTTTTGTCAGTTTATGCACACGGTCGAGTCCCAACCAAAACTCCTCATCCAAGGAACCGAAACCCATCTTATAGGAATCCCAAGGCCTATAAAAATCGGTGCGGCCATTCATGCGACGCTGTATAACCAACCAGCCGCCTCCATCGTATTTCCTTTCACACAAAACTTGGTACTCCTTCACATCGTGTTTACCCGTCAAGATGTAAATACCAGTCGTCTGTACCTCTTTGCAGCCTTTGATCTTCTCTTGTCCCAGCGAAGTTGTCCGCAAAAGCAGTAGAGAAAACAGAGCTATTAGTATTGCTTTCATTTCAAACTGCGAAGCAAAAATGGAACACAGCTCTTGCTTCCGCATCTACATTACACGAAATTACATAAATCGTCATTTAAAATAGACCATTTCATTGGAAGAGTAACTAATTTAAAATGCCACGGCCAGAAACGTAGCTATATAGAAATGGATGGGCTTTTTCTTTTTACATTGCAGTTGTTCAACTTAACTTATTAAATGTATCGCCAAAAATTCAGAATATGCTATGAACAAAGAAGTACAAGCTTGTCCGCTACTCTCTAACACAACTATAATAAAAATTATAGTCATATACCTTGGGTTCGTAGTAATTTCGGGAAATTATTTCGCTAATTAGTAAAAACCGGCTTGAATAAAATTTCCTAAGAGACTGCAGACCAAATTTTATCTGTTACACGCATTTTCACAAATCCTTTCAATCTTCAATTAAAATTAATTAAATGCATTAATAATTAAATAAGAAAAAAATGTATAATACAAATTACTATGGCTGGGTATTAAGAGTTATGCACGCATGAGTCTAGCATTCCATCTTAACACCATTCCCAGATAGTTCTAAGGGTATATTCCAAAAGGAATAGTCGTAGACTACATGTTATAGGTGCGTATATATTATAGGTACACAGTCTTATAACCAGCGTAATAAAATATTGCAGTGAATCAAAACCGACCATATGAGATCATTATATTAATATTGTCATAGAAAGCAAATTTTTGGTACAAATATATATTTTGTTGGAGGCCAAAATGCATAATGAGATTGTTGCAATAATATCTGATGGTATTGCATAAGCCTTGTGTACATAGATTAAGTAAACATTCATTAATTCATTCTATAAATGTGACCATATTAAATAATACATCCCACAAGGATTGGAAAGCATTTATTAATATTTAATGAAATGAAAGTGTTTGATTTGAACTAATTGATATTGAATTTACATACCGGGAACATTAATTTTGCACGCTTTGGATGGGAATTTCTGGCAACAAATACTACAAATAAATACAGTTTGGAAGCAAAAAAAAACACGAATGTGCCGATTTAAATACATTTTAAAAATATTTAAATTCCTGTTTCTTTTTATACTCTGTACTTGAAATGTAACAAGACGAGTCGATCTAGCCCTGTCTGTCTGTCTGTCTGTCCGTCTGTCCGTCCGTATGAACACCAGGATCTCAGAGACTATAAGAGATATAGACACCAAATTTTGCACAAAGATGCGTTATGTGTGTATTCTATACGAGTTTGTTTTATTTTTTTGATTTTCTCCCCCACTTCCCCCCTATGGGGGTTTTCCCGATTTTCCATTCGTATAATCGCCTATATCTCGGAGACTATAAGACCTAGGAACACCAAATTTTAGTCCCAGATGCCTTATGTGAATACGCAGAAAATGTATATTTTGGAATTTCCCTCCCTCCCCCCTCTACCCCGCAAATCGTAACTCCCGTAATTCTTGGAATTTCGAACTACAATTTTGGAAATACCCCCAGTTGGTTATTATGTGTCCGTATGCCATTATGATAGACCGATTTAACAAGAAGTTATAGCCATAAATATATTTGCTGATGCAGCGCTGCTGCAGCGCTGCTCAAGCGCTGCCCGCGGCTGTTGTTGATGTTGCTGTTTGGTTGACTGCGAAAATGCTTACACAGACACGAATAGATGCGCATAGGCATACATACACTCACACAGACGCAATTGCTATGTAAATGTGCAATTATAAACCCTTTACGTGAGTTGGAATACCGAGAGAGGTAAAATCGATCAAATTTTTTTTTTATTTTCTTAATTTTTGTTATTTTCTATAATTATTGTAAACATATGTACAGAGTATTTCAAAGTCGGGACACCCGACTTTAGCTTTTTTACTTGTTTTTTTTTTAATTCTCTTACTTTTTTTAATTTCTATAATTATTGTACGCATATGTACAGAGTATTTCAAAGTCGGGACACCCGACTTTAGCTTTTTTACTTGTTTTAGATTCAAATTAGATAAAACAAGTAATAAACAAATCAGTCATATATTAATAGTTACCTTTTAATGGCAAAAGCCGATTCTTTAAAGAGAAGCAATAGGAAAAGGTTCCACGCGATTTTAGCAATTGCCGCGATTTAGAAGCGTTTTGTCAGAGCTCAAAAAGTGCAGCATACTTTCGGGATGAGCTTTAAATTGCAGCCGAACCACTGAACTGGAAGCAGTTAGAGCTGTTGAGTTGCAACTGCATATAGACATTGGCAGTGTATAAAATGTAATTAAAATCAAATATACTACAACAACAACAACTACAATAAAAACAACACACTGTGCGCATCGTCATTTCAGCGCACTTTGCGGTAATTTCCAAAAGCGAAAAAGTCATTAAAAGATAAAATCGCAAAATCAATTAGCCAGAAACTTTAGCAACTACATTTGTTGGGTGGCCACCGATGTGCGGCCTAGGCGCCACTGCGACGGTCCAGCCCAGTACAGCGCAACCCTGCCAAGCCCGGTCCGATCTGTTCTGGCCATAAATTGCAACACTTTTATCGCGCTCTGCCTGCTGTGTCCTTGCTATGGAGACAGTCAGCAGCACGTTGCCGCCTATTTCGGTACTTTGCCTTCTTTACTGGCTACGCTTTCATTTCTCTGCCTGGGACTTCTCTCTATACTCGTACGTACGACTGCACACACAACGAGACGCGCACAGTTGCAGCTTCCGATTTCCGTTTCCGTTTTGCGGTGCTGTTTTGAAGCTGTCTGTGCATTTGGTTTTTATTTGCTCTGCGCGTTTGTTACATAAGTGGCAAGTCCTTTGCTTTGCCCGACTTGGCCACGTTTGCCTCTATTCGTATAAGTGTATGTGTGCGTGCGTGAGCATGTATTTGTTTTGGCAACGCATTTTTTCATTACTTTTTGACTGGCC